GATTCATTGACTCATGCCTACTTTTAAGCTTCGTTACTCATTGACTCATGCCTAATTTTAAGCTTGTGACTCACTGACTCATGCCTAATTTTAATCTTCTTTACTCATTGACTCATACCTGACTTTAAGCCTGTACTCAAAAAATCGTGTCTAATTTTAAGCTTCTGACTCATATCTCTGAGCTTCTTTACTAAATGACTTCATGCAAATGAAAATAATTTCCTTTTTTCCAGTCACAAGATGAGAAAATCAAACCATTAGCTCCGATAGAATTAAAAGTTTCAAAAACTGATTCAGAAGATGAAAGCACAATCACAAATTTAGTGAACTCAGAAGTCATACTACTAGACATTCCGTTAAATAATTCCGAGGCAACAGGACTGGGCGTCAGTGTCAAAGGAAAGTCTATTTCGACCCCCCAGGGCACTAAAGATTTGGGAATATTTATCAAATCAGTGATGCCTGGGGGTGCTGCATTTAAGGTAAGATTCATTTAGGGCTGTTTTTGCAGATTCGACTTTCTTGGGAGCATGTAAGGACTTTATTCAGGATATGAATACTGCCTAGAATTGCTGACAATTGTAGCCCCACAAAAGAACTAGAATCTGGAAAGTGATACATATAGCTCAATTAAGCTGGTAAATTGAATTTTCATGTCCAGTTTATTTGCTTACTTTGCTCATATGCCTAAACTTCGGGGTTGGAACTCCCATTTCTAAAACAGCTGTTGAGTTTTAGTCTTTTAACATCAATTTTTTTTTCAGGATGGCCGTTTGATCATGAACGATCAACTATTAGAAATAAATGGTGAAAAATTAGTGGGTTTAACCAACATTAAAGCTATGGAAAAATTGCGTAATGCGATGCAAAGTGAGGGACCCATACCTGGACATACATTCCTTTCAGTGGCCAGAAAAATTGGCGCTCCCTCACCCTTTTCACAAGGGGATCAAAATGTGGTGACTGACTCGACAGAACTTGTGATGCAAGGTGTAAACAGTGCTTTAAAAAATAAGGGAGATAACTCTCAAATTCCAGTGACTTCAGACCGCAATAAACCCCTCAATCCAATTCTGGATAGACTTATGGGTAATACAAACAGTCCAGTGCCAGGTGGTTTAAGAAATGAATCGTACACACGAGCGACTCAGGATAGTTTTTTGAACGACAGCAAAGACGCAATTGATGGGGGACCACCTCAAAATTCTGTGTCCAGTAAAGTCAAATTGTTTCAAGCACCGACTGTCCATCCTAGACATCAGGATGAAGTCATCATTGAGAATGATGCCTATTCGTTGCCCAGAGTAAGTTCACATCGTAGTTTAGATTACCTCAAGATGTTTTGTGTTTTTCATATTGAAAATGATGCCTACACATTGCCCAAAGATCTATGTATCTGCATTAGCAAGTTGCTTTGACTCAACAGTTAAGTTTCAAAAAGATGAAGATGAAATGCACTGAACAGACGTCACATTTTTCTGCAGGATGTCAAGATTTTTCCTTCCTTTGCCTACTTTGACGCTCAGGAACGAACAAATTTGAGTCAAACAGACAGTGTTTTTAATGAATATCAAAGTTATTTAAGACTTAAGATTTGGATTCAAACAAAGCAACAAAAGTCTATTTTATTCCGCCTTACTGACTTTTGACTCCCTACATTTTGCCCAAAAAAGGAACCGCATCATGGTATAACCATTATTTTTATCCAATTTTTGTGTTTCAGAAAAGTCAATTCCGACCTCGTCCTCATTCTACTATTGGTGTTCCAATAAAATCTGATGAAACTACCTCCAGTACTGAAGATCTACATTCTCAATCCATTCCCAAACATCGTCAGTCCAACTCCTTAGATACAACTCATCAAGATTCAGATCTGTATGTCATTATTTTTGGGGTTTTTTTTTCAACCCTTTGTTTATCTGTCAGCAGTGGTGGTTGGAAAGACCAGCATATGAAGAAAAGGGGACAATCTTTTGCCGGGACAATAAACTGCAGTCCTCTATGCCAGTGCTTCTCAAACTCGGTGAAATCATTCCACCCTGAAATAGTTCTTCCAAATCTATTTCTTCCTAAATAAATCAGTCATTTTGAAACGCATTTCAATCGAAAAAAATGTATTAAACGATTAACCATGATTGGATCTAAAATCATACTCTACATATCGAGATAGTTCAATATGACTTTTGGCCAAAATGTTCGTTTTGTATGTCTGGAGTAAATGACGCCATTTTAGTCGTATATCACATTGTCTCCCATTTTCTCCCTAGTCCAACGATTCCTCTCCATGGTCTTCCAATTCCACCCTTCTTGAGAAGCACTGATCTATGCAACAGACCCCCATAAACTAGGAAATTTGGTAAAAGGTTACTGCATGCAAATGTTTTATGAATTCCACCTCCAAAGAAGCCTGACAGTTTTGGTCTTTTGTAGGAGTCCCGAGGGTGATCCAGGTGGTTTTAGTCGTGAGGGTTTCGGCCGTCAGAGTATGTCTGAGAAACGTAAAGGTCACATTGATCCCAGAACAACAGAACAATTTTGGCGTGTTCGCTCTGGTCGGGAACAAAGGACTGGTAAGTTGAGTCTATAAATATTATATTAACTGCATTTAAAGGGCTATAATCAAACCCAAAGGATATAATTAGTGTCTGGACAAAGTGGACACAAATGTTTAAGGATCAGCCTGTGTTATCAATATGGAAAACACTGTCTTTGGAACTTTACTGCATTACATGTGTCCAGGTATGGACCAATCAAATCTCTTGAAATTCAAAGAGTTTTTACTATTTTGTAATTGTTTGTTGACTTGGATTGAGCCAGATTTGCAATGTGTCCAAAAGGTAATAATCAGAATGGCCTTTTGTAATTCTTTGCATCAAAAAACATCCAGGGTCAAGTCCAGGAGTTTTCAACCTGGGGCCTTATTCTCCAAAATTTAACGTAAATAAAATTAGGATTTTAAGAAATACGGCAATCTGATTGGATAATAATACTAGATTTAAAATCAATTTTAGTAATTGACCAATCAGATCACTGGAACACTATAATCATCTTAAGTTAAGTTTTCAAGAATAAGGCCCCTGGTAGTGTTTATTCCCAAGGGGGTCATTTTGAACCTTTTGGAGGGTAATGTGGTGCTTTGTAGTCTAGCATAAAATTTTTGGACAATTATAATTCAAGTTGTACTATTCAGTTAAGCTATGTTGTTCTCCAGGGATTACAGGGAAAATTTGCGAGAAAATGACGAAATAGTAAGGAATTCTAGGAGAAAGGGGAGTAATGTAATCAGTCAAGGATCCTAATATTAGTAATGGAAAGAAAAAGGTTGAAAACCTCTGCTCAAATCAAATAATTGATTGTTGAATTTGATAATTAGATATAGACCAATAAAACTTCGTTATCTCGGAATTAATTAACTAGTTAATTAGTAATCTGAGAATAAGAATAATTAAAATGATAAAACCATCAATTAAAAGATAGAAAACTCTAGGGTGGTACATAGTCTCGAATGACCTTTGAAATATTTGACCTATTTTGACACACAACTTGGAATAAGGCTTAGTTTCTGACATTTTTACTTGGTCAGCTTTCAGCATATTTTATTTCTTTGTGGATATTGCTTGTTAAGGTATGAACATATTTTTGGTTAAATCATGTATTTAAAGATGGGTTCCCTTATTTTCATTTATGAAAATGAAAATGCTAATACTTCTATGAATAGAAAGTAGAGGTGTTTTAATGACTTGGAAAAATACCAGTTTGTCTCACATGTCCATAATTAATTCATAATTAGCTAAATTAGAAGAGAATAACCAGCAAAATTCCAATGAGTGACCGATCAAGAAAGGTTAAAAAGTCGTTTTTTTTGTTTATCCAGACTGTTTATACATGGACATTTAAGATTGGTTAAAACTCTTTATTATATGCAATAAGAACATAATGATATGATTAAGAATACATGATAGTTCATTAGAAACACTATTAATCACTTAGTTTGCTTAATTTGACACTAAGAAATGAGGAAACCCATCTTTAAGTCAAATGCACCAACATGAAATAGCTAAAACTTTTAGACTTCTGGTGTAGTTCTATATGGGCAAATTTTGGAAATGCTGTTATTTTATGTTATTAGAACAATTTTAAATTTTTTGGTGTCAATATTGTGTTGACTGTTGGTGTAGGGGGGGAGGGGGGAAGGGGGGTGGTAGTCTTATTAGGATCTTTTACAAGTTATGTTTGATTTTAGCTATCTCATGCTAAGGGATCTTTTTTCCCATTCAGCTTCTCTTGAAGGTGTAGAAAGTTGACCCAAGTTTGAAACATCTGCCTCTATTCCAGCCTCTGAAAGATATTGTGATATTTATTTGCTGAAAAAGAGTCAGAAAAAGTAGACCTTGTTTAATGGGGATTTTCCACACCTCCAAAAGGTGCGAAAAATTCACATTAAACAACACCTAGTTTTTCTTACTTGACACCAACCAACAACTTCCAAAATATCTTTCAGAGGCTGGCCGACTTTTCTGTACCATGTGGGCTAATGAAGACGGGCAACGCCATGCAGGGTGCGATGAGGGAAATTTCGTCAGGACAATGGCATTAGCCTGCTCTTTTTCGATTTCCAACTGTCGAGGGATCTTTAACGTGCACAGCCTGTAGCACACGGGGCCTCAGTTAATTGTTCCAAAAAGCTAGACGCTTTTTCCATGTCAGCCCCTCTCACCTGCTTCACTGACAGGGGGAAACCGGGTTGAAAAATCCAAAGGTATTATCTCGACCTATGCCGGGATTGAACCCTGGAACTCACTGAGCCACCATGGCTTCCTTAAATCAATAGGAAATAAGGATCTCAAACTAAATATTTTATAGTTTCAGTAAAAATCAGAAGAATATTTTCCTTCAACACAATAGGTAGAGATATAATTAAGAATGACATATGCATCTTGAATGATCCTCTCCCCCTTACCAATTCCTTTTGAAAAAAACAGTGCCATTTTGTTACCCCCAACATTAATGTCTAATAGCATGAACAACTCATGATACCTTATATGAATTCAACAGAGATTTTCTAGCCCTTATATCAGTATTTACTGAAAACAAATGATATACATTGACCAAACTTTGGTTCTGTTTATTTTTTAAACTTTCATTTCTAATATAGCCACTTCAGTTAGGGTCTAACAACAGCCCTCTTGATTGTTGTCTAAGTGACCTTTTGAGCTAACCTGATAAACATCATGTCACAAAATGCCAGTGCTGTAGAAGGTAGAATTTTTATCAGTTAAAGCAGACGTCATCGTGTTAGGTCAAAAGGTTAATTTGACGAATGTTGAAGAGGGCTGTCATTAGACCCTAACTGAAGTGTCTATATAAAAAATAAAAATATTGGCCAAACATGATCCACAGGCTTTGGAAAGGTATTTGGAATGATTATAATAGAAGCTATCCCTGAAACACATACAAAGTCCAGAAAATCTTTTTGAATTGATCTGTACCCGGGGTTTATATCAAAATCATTGT